GTGTGTGGGGTGTGTGGGGGCCTTGGTAAATTACCCCTAGTTTATCTCAGCACCCAGAGAGTCCATGGTAACTGATATCTTTGTTTACTCAGCTGCCTTGTCAAATGTTGCAATGGTTTTGTTTTCTCCCCCTTTTTTTTCTAGCCCTTGTTTGTCTCCCTTTTGCAGTGTGAAAAATGGTTATGAGCGTGGTCTGGCAATTTTCGTTGCCATTAAGAAAGTCCCCGAAATAATGTCTGGGCCGCACTACAAATTAGCGAAATCAATTTAATATTTTCATTGAGTTCCCAAAAAACTTTGCATTGAGCGGTCAGCAGTATTTAAGGCTCACACAAACACACCTCAGCCTTGGCCAAACATTTTGAGGTCACTGTTGATTTGATGCCCGGGCTAACTTTTGATACGCAAAGGCAAAAGTTTAAGTAGTGGCTTAAATTTTATATATTTCTATCCAAAATTCTCTGGCTCGGTGTGTTCGTTCCGACTTTTTGCTGCCCGCTTGGCAAGTTTAAATGTTTGTCGAGAATTTTAATTCATTTATAAAATATGCCCGGCCTTTGGGTCTATGTATATTCCCAAGACCACTTTCTCGCTCTCTCTCTCGTGTGGATTAAGTGCATTCGCTCGGTCGACTCTTAAATTAATGAATCTGTGTGTTTCAAGTGTAAGTTAGCCGTAAGCTTTTTGTCTCTACGCCAATTAGCAGACTGGATGGAAACAGCTGCAAAACTTGCCAAGGAACTAAGCATAGGCAAAAGTTTTCTGTTGACGAATATGTGTGCGAAATTGCTACTTGTGGGTGGGTTTTTGGGTTTGTTATTTAAGATCTTTTAAAGGTTTATTTTTCAAATTATGAAAATAAATCAAGATGGGTTTTGTAAGATGTCTATTAGCTAAATTGTTTAGGTTTATTAAGAGATGGTAAGATGATTTAAAGAGGCAACATTTTAATTGTTTTCAATGGTTTATTTAATTTATTTGTATGTTACAATGTTATACGTATGAATCTTTCTTATATGTACTTAAACAGCATTTTTAGAGTAATTTTTTAGAAATTTTTCAATGAATAAAATTATTTAATTTTAATTTAGAATTTATTGTATATCTACACTTTTGTATTTCACACAACTTAAGAACGTTTAACAATTCTTTCCAACACCTATTGAATATTTATTTCATTTTATGCCTTAAAGTCATTTTTATTCCTCCAGGAAGTACTATGCAGGACCTCCCTGATCAGTTACTTCAATTACCAATCTATTGTCTAACTTAATGTTTGCTCTCCTGCGGCCATCGATACGTGAACTCCTTTGAACAATTTAGTTTCGGCAACTTCGTCTTGCAGTCTTACTCTGGTCAAAAGTTAAATGTTTTCGTTTTGGGAACTTTTTAAATGCTTTCACGATACTTGACTGTGCGTTTTTTTTTGTTTTTTTTTGGAGCCACCTTGGCAACTACCTTTTTGGCCAAAATCACATCGCACAACTTTACTTGCTTCCATTACTTTTATTTCTGCGGTCGCTGTGGCAACATCTTGTTGAATGGAATTTATGCTACTCGCACTTGTTACCCATAAGAAGACAAATCGATGAGAGTTGCACACATATATATTCCAGAACTTCTGTAGTGCAAGTTGATATGTTTCTCTGTGCACTGAAACATTCGCACGAATGCCATAATTTATTGAATTTGAACTTAAGAGGGTTGCATTAATTTATTTACCAGCTGCTGGGGTGTTTTCCACTTACCTTAAGCAATCGCAAGTTGCAGTTGCACTTGAGAGGTGTGGGAGAGTTACTGGTGCATAATCCTGTAGAGTGACATGTCAGCGTGGTTTCACTCTGATATCGGGATTAACAGCACATGCAAATTGAAGGCTGGAGGCAAGTCGCCTTCTAATCCAATTTCAATTGCTTAATCCACCATGACTGACACTAAGAGCGAAGTTGAAAGATGGCCGACGGAGGCGGAAGTGCTCCCGTGTTACTATATCTAGTGTGTGTGTGTGTGTGTGTGTGTGTTTGGAGCGAACATCTTTACGCACCAGGGCACTTCAAACACTCGAGTTGCTATTGAATTACGCACACTCACACATGTCAACATATCATGTTACACTTCACTTTGTGTGTTCGCTAAGTAAGTTGTAGTTTGGTTCGCCAAGAGCGGAAGCGGAAATGCTCATGTTGCTGCTGGTGCTGCTGCTGCTGCTGCCATCCCACATAAAATCACAATGTTGACCCTTTTATTTCGACTGGAAGTTTTATAACCAAAAAAAAAAAAATAAAAAGAATCGGGGCCACATACACGAAAATAAAGGAGCTCAAGCTGTGTGTTTGCTTAAGTTTTATGTGTGCACAGATTTTACGACCGAGCTGAACAACAGCACGTAGCTCAAGGCCCGGCTTAGTGGCCCGTGAACTTTGCCAGAGGTCAGCCAGTTATGGTATGCATTTTAAATGGGATTGCACTCCTCTTCATCGCATTATTCTGTCATGAAAAAAAGAAGAAAAGGCCACACCCGCAATAACCAAAATCCATCTGACAAGCTGGATTGCTGAAAAAATAAGAAGGCGATTCGACTGATATTCATTAAACTTCACTTAACTGATAATTGATTTTTGATACTCTTACATATTAAATAGCTACAATTTATTATAAAAGAGCCAAGAATTTTCAGAAGGTAATTATACTATTTAAAAGCTGGATTAAATGAATATAAATCCCTTTAATAAAATGATTTTTCTCTCTTTAAAGAGCTCTTGAAAATATCTTTATCCATTTAAATAAATAAATAATATCATATGATCAACTGCTGTTAAATATGAATAAGCTTTATTGGTAATAAATTCCTTAATAAATTAATAAAAAATCATACACTTGTAGAGCATTTATGCCATGCAGCATTTAAAGTAAGTTTTTCTCCCTACCTTGCTTGATTTTTGTTTTTGTATAAAAACTCGGATAAAAGGATTCGTCTGCTGACAGGAGTGCAATGCGGTTTAATTAGTGCCACAGGATGGGTGTGGCAATCCAGAGACATGCACTTTTCCATCGGTCAGCAATGTGACAGCCAAAAAGCGGAAAGTGGATAAATTAACAAACAAAAGTGGCGGCAAACTTAAAGGGGGATTGGCATTGAAACACGTTTTCAATTAACGCCACTTTGCTGAGGACCGACGGCGAAGGCTAATAATGAGTTGACAAATGGCTTGTGTCAAAGAAAAGCCGCGCGGAATAAACAAACAAACAACAGACAGATAGACAGAGAAACAGGAGCTCAAACCACACCGACAGACTGAACACGTCTTCATGCCAGAGTGCGTGACTTTGGGTGGATGTAGGCAATTTACCGCCCACCGCCCAGCTGTCAACTTTGGCGACACTCATACACACCTCCCTGCAACACACACACAACACACACTCTTCAACCAAACAGAGTTGTCAACTTACAAGGCTTTGGTGGCTAAAGTGTCGCGTAATTTATTTTCCACCTCTCGTCGACGACTGACAAATGAGCTGATAATTTCCCCCCCCCATTGTCAAGGACATTCTAGGGGTAGTGGGTGGGTGGGTGGTGCTTGGGCTAATTCATGGCCACCCGGAATTGCCTAGTCATTGGAGGAAGGCTTTGTCTAGCCGTTGACAGGAGAAATTAATTTGTGTTTGCTTGCCTGTTTGACACTCGTGAGTTATTGACGAGAAATGCGGAATACGGAATATGGAAATGCGAATGGATGAGCACAAACTATGTCAAGGAATTCGATAATAATCTCAATGATGAATGAAATGAATTATTAAATAGTGAGACGAGGATGTAGAAACTTGTAGATTATACCAGCGTTTGTAATAAGAATAAAAATTGAGTCAAACTAATAGAATTGTAAAGATTTATTAATTTCTTATAAGTATGTTAGAATGAATATTATGCTAAAAAGTAAACCACTGAATGTGTCTTTTATTTAATACCAACATTGCTTATAAATATACTTTTAATTCGTAAAAAAAATATATATAAATAATCAAACAAACGATTAAAGATCGTCATACTTTTGAATGCTAAGGGATATTTTGGGACCAGCAGAAGTTAATCAATAACATCTGTGCAAAGGTGTTCGACCATTCAAAATGTTTATAATTTTGGAATTAAATAAACAATGACAGCTTTAAACAGCAATGGTATGATTCCATAATGATAATCGATTCAAGGTCAAAGAATAACCTAAGAAGTAAAGTAGAATGAGTAAATATTATACAATTAATGTAGTATATTTTTAATCCTCTGTTTAAGTTGCTAATTTAATTAATCTCTTTGAATAGGTAACAATATGTTTGTATATCAATTAATTGCGAATTTTTAAAATAATTCATTGTTTGATTATAAACAAGAATGTAATCAAATTATTCCGAATTGAAATTAATCATAACTAAGCCAAAATTCATTAATTTCAATTCGGTAAGCATTTCTGTGCTAGTTTTCAATAGCTTTAAAAATGAACATAATGAAGTTAACATTTTAAAAAAGTAAATTTTGTGTTAATTTTTTTTGACAATTTTAAAGAAAAAAATTGTTAAATTTACTTTTCTTGGGAACAATGCTAGATAGATTCGCAGTTAGTGCTGATCAAGAATATATATGATTTATAGTGTCGGAAAAGACTCCTTCACCAAATATCAAGCTTCTGACTAAAATTATACGACATATAAACTACCTAATATTATTTAAATATATTAAATTTTATATATATACATATATTATATATATATTATATTATTATACCGAATCTACTCATAATAATGAGTTAAGCGGAAAATATGAGTCCCATGTAATTAAAGACTATATTGAATACCTAACTAATAAGCCTCGATGGAGCCTAGATTGAATATAAATTAAAATGTAAACCTGTGTTAAAAACAAAGTTCTGGTGACATTATTCCTTAGCATCATTTCCCAATAATATTCTTCAGTTTATATATTGTAGTTTAATCATGCATTTATTTATTTAGGAACAAACATCTAAAACTTTTGCTTTGCAAAATTTGTCACAACAGTTGGGGTGCTTATGCGTATTATGATTGATCTCCAGACACTCCTGGTGGTTTACACTTGGCAGTAAGAAAACAACTGTAAGAAAATATAATTGAAATGAGGTGAGAGGATGTTCAATTCTTTCAAAGTTTAATTTACGTACTTAGCTTGTTCTTAGACCGACGGACATCGTTAATAATCTTAATCTCCTCATCACAGGTGTACACCCAATTGCAGGGCTTGTCCCATTCCGAGCAGGTAAAATCGCAGGCGCATTGATGTATCAATTTCTTTCCCCGGCAACATGGATTCGTGTTCACGACCACCTCGCAGCCATTCTTAATGTTGGTGCTAGATTGGCACTGGGAGCTGAGCTCGAAGGCAACGAAAAGGAGCAGCAGAGTGAACAGGATCTTGGCAGCCATGTCGGATACTTCTCAGATGAAGTGGCTAGGCACTCGGCCCTTTTATAGTCTTCTTTCCTACCCCACGGAGTGGGTTATTTTTAATTTTTTGTTAAAATGAAACAGCTCCTTTCAACAGTTGTGTACACACAGACTGGCGGGCAGGGGTATAAAAGAAAGACGTTTAGCAGGAATTGTCTGAGTGCTCTGCAAGCAAAACATGGCCGCCATACGAATTCTTCTGATATCCCAGCTTCTAGCCTGCCTCTGGGTCTCGGTTTCGTCCTGTCTACCCCACCACCTGTGAGCAGCTGTGTGCCCTTCGTGGGTGTGAGTGGATGCGTCAATTCAAATATTAAGGAACCCAAATTGCCGCCCAGAGATAATGCTTGCTGTGGACCCCATTGCACCTATACTGCACAAAATCCACCAGGATGCTGCAATAACACTGTTACAGGACTTTGTATCCTGGATACGCACTGCGATTACAACGTGGCCTTTTACTATACCAAAATTTCAAATTGCCAATTGCGTTCAATTAATGAAAAAAGGTTGAAGAAGGGCTATGCACGTGAGTATAAATATATTCAATTTTATATCCATTTGGTTGCTGCATTTATCCCTATTTTAATTATACAGGTTTGCTGGCATTCGATATGAACAAAAAAACTTGCAACCTTCAGAATAAAAAGTGTGGTATTAATTGCTGCTGCCGTGAGACATGTCCAACTCAGTTTTGTAAAGTTTGTTAATAAAAATGAAAAGTTTTGACCAAATTATAAGTGAATATAAAGTGTTTCCTTGAAAGCTAATTAAAGATATTTTCAATTTTATATAATTAGGAAATTTAATTATATTTGATCTGCAGCTCTGCTCAGTTAAATGTTAAAATATAAAGAAGAAAGTCTTAATCTCTTCGTGTTGTAGAAGTTTTTATAACCATAAAAATAATAAACAATATAAAATTCAATAATTTGCCAATTAACTATTCAAGTATCTATCATAATCATGTGCGTTTCACAAGTGCTAAACTCTTAAATTTATATTAATGACTTAAATGCATACTCATTTTAAGCCTCCGGTCCTCATACTTCAGATGGGACTTTGGTAAATGGCTGTCACTCCACTCTTACAATTTACATATCCTTACATCCATGTATATCAAGAGAGTTGTAAAACCTTTTTTGGTGTTGGCTTAATGACATCTTGCCGGCAAATGTGTATGAAAACGTACGTCACAAAATTAAAAGTTTACCAACTGACTGGAGATATCTTGCGAAATGAAATCACAGAGATATAATATATATAAATATTAAATATAAGATCTTTATTATTTTAACTTAAGTTTAAATAAATAAAACGTTGATCAAAAACGATTAGTATATATTACTTAAATAAACAGTTTCTCTGAGTAATATCCGGCATAAAGAAAAACATATTTTATCAAATGTGACAAACCGTAACATAAGTATAAGGTTGCATTTAAATACTCTGTCAATAACAAGTCCTCCGTTTATAGCTTAGTTTTTATAAAATTAATCTTTCTATACAAAGTTAAATTATAAAAATAACTAAGTAGATTCAAGAGATCTCATTCTTTCAAGCATTGGATAAATAAATATAACAACTTATTTGTTATTATATTATTATTGAGTTAAGATCGCGATTTATATACTGTGTGTATCTTTAAAAATTAATTTTTTGCTGACTCCAATTGCTTGGTTTTATGAGAGGCTTAACATATAATTCAACACAACATTTACTGGATAGAGTATAAATAGAATCACAAAACATTATGATGAAATAAATTAAGCTTTATTGATAAGAAGGAAGTGCTTGTCGTTTCTCAGTTAAATTTTGCGAAGTTCAGTGCTATATAAACATTCGTTGTCGGCGGTTATTATGAAGTCACAAGCGGTTTTGTTCTTTGCAATTATTGCATCTTTCTTATACAAATCCCTGGCAGGACCTGATGATGTTTCATCTACGGTCTGCCTTCTTCAGGATGAACCAAATCAATGTGGAAAATTCTGCTTAACCGCTCTAAAACCACTCATTGATCACATTGCCCTTCACCAGCAGCAGTGGAATACCCGTGATGCTGTCATGGTGAATGAAACTCAAACGAAATTAAACAGGATTGAAGGACAACTGGATGCACTAAAGGACTCCCTGGTTAAACTTCTTCCGAAAGATCTTGCGACGAGACTGGAGACAATGAAAACACAACAATCAGCTTTAGACAACAAATTGTTAGATCTGCAAAAGACATTATCCAAAATCAATAGGCAGATGCTCCTGAAGAATTTCAACCAAATTGGTAACAAACACTTCTACGTGGAACAATATCTGAAGAGAAATTGGACAGGGGCTATAACTACTTGTGGTCAGATGGGCGGTCAATTGGCATCCATTGAGAATGAAAGTGAATTTGATGCGATCGTTGCGAAATTAAAATCAGATATTAGCTACAGAGTGGATATAAACGATCTGGCGGAAAAGGGAAAGTTCATCTCCAAGAATTCGGGAAAACCAGCTGTATTTTTCAAGTGGAAGCGAGGAGAACCAAGATACGATACCGAGTCTCAGCGCTGTGTGACCATCAATGGAGGAGGCATGTGGGTTGATAGTTGCAAAAATGATATGAACTTTATATGTGAGGCAAGCTACGAAGAATAATATTAAAAAATACGATATAAAAATAATAATAATAATAATAATAAAATAATAAAATAATAAAAATTCATTTAATATGAATTATTAAACATACAATTTTTATAGCATAATTGAAACTTCTGCAACCTTCTATATATATATATTAAACATAAATAATGATTTTGAAGACTTGCACTTATGAACGAAAAAATCATATATAAATTATACATATATAAATTTAGAGATTAAAGAATTTAGTACTAAAAGATATACAGATTATATTTCAAAAGGCATCATTATTTAAAGAGTATATATTAATCATTTAATTCACCAAAAGTTGTTCGAGTTCCTTAAATATTTGTATTTGCCATGTGTTTGCTATAAATATATACAAATAAATATTAAATATATATAAAAATATTATGTTATTTATATTTTGCGACCTTTTCAGTGGCCTTACATTACCGACATCCACTGTTCCTGTGGCATATGCGAATGGGCTGCACTGCAATTTGGCTTTAATGCATTTTTAATTTGTGTATGCGTGTGCCATAGCCTGCATCAGTGTATGTATATTTATATATACATACATATGCTATATATATATATATATATATATATATATATGTGTGTGTATATGTACTTGTTTGTATGTAAATAGAAAATGAAATTACCGATGCGCTACTTTGTAGCCTCCTCCATTCTGAGAAGGCTGAGCGAATTCCGTTTATGACTATTTTATGCGAACTGCAAATTCTTTTGCACTTTATTTTCGGCGCAGCTTAACATGCAAATTATTATTTGCCCAGCTGTGTACTGGTGTGTGTGTGTGTTGGGTGTGTGTCCTGGTGTGTGTGTTGTTGCAACATTGTGAGGGAATTTTATATGGGCGCCGGAGCCCTACAAAATGCCGTGTGCAGCTTGGGGCGCCTCTCTTTTACGGTCGACTCCTTGCTCCCGCGCCAGACTTCAATTTTTAATTTGCCACAGTTTTTGTTATTTCTCTCTCGTTTCCGCTGTTAATTATGTTACCCATTTGTTTGCACTTGGCGGAGCTAATAAAAAGCAGAAAAATAGTTGAGCAAAAAACGCAGTCCGTTAAAGATTAATGTTCATGTCTGCTGTGGGGCATTTAAAGGGGAAGGAGAAAGAGGGTATTCCCTAACTTTGATTTTAAATTGGGAAACAACAAAAATATTGAATGATAAAACTTTGTATTTGCCTGCTTTGCGTCTGCTTATTAAATAAATACACATTTTCCATTTAGTTTTCACTTGCAACTTTTAACATTAGGGTAAAAAAACCATGTTGGCTTTTCTTGATTCATTTCGTTTTTAATTTCCTGTTGCCATCGCCTGAGATGGTTAAGTGACTGCCGGTGATTTATTGGTAGGAAAATCACAGGAAATTGATATAAAATCATAGAAAATTATTTTTATAATAAGAGTTCGATTTTTACTCAGGCTCAAAATGGAAATTTATGACATTTTGTAATGGAAAAATAACCATTTTCTTGCTAGAAAACGAAAAAAGGGGGTAATTTTTAAACCGGAAATGAGAAAATCGTCCCTTTTGCCTTTGCTGTGGCCCGTAGCAAAGTAATTAATTTTTAATTGATTGGTGGAAAAGCCGGCAAGCACTCCAATTTCTCACTGCCGGGATTATTATGCAAATTTGCAAATAGCAAAGAGTAAGTAAAACCCTTCTTGCCATTCTGTAGGTCTAGACACAACATTTCAGGGGCCATGTAACAGGGGACCAAGGGGCTAAGGGCCAAGTTAATGTCACGCACGGCAGTCAGCCCATTGCTGTAGCACTTTTAATGTCCTCATCGCTTTTACAAGTCAGCTAGCTGCATTTCACATCCATGTATGTATGTATATATCCTGTGTGTGCTCAAGTGTAAAATGGAAAATGAGTTCGCACTTTAGATTAAAATCTGTAAACACGAGCAAGCACGGCACACGGTGTTGCACTTTGCCCAGATTTGTTGGTTGCATCGCGCTTAAGGCTTATCGCATGGCATTCATTAATCAGGGAAAAACTTCTTGAGGTGACGGCATCTTGATCACTTTTGCATACTAAATAGAGTGGTTTGCGTTAAGTATACGACATGTGTGGCTGGAGCTCATTCAGGATTATGTAATTATAATGTTACATGAAAATGTTATGTCATTAAACTAGTCTTTAAACATTTGTATTTGGTTTAAATGATATTTAGAAGCCCTTTCTCTTCGTATTCTCAATTATTATGCTCATATTTGTTCCCAGTTAGGTGCTTGCTGATTTTAAATTATTTAAATTCAATCAATTTATTAAATACATTATTTTGCAATATACTCTTATAGCCTTAGGTGATTATTGTGGCAGCTTAGCTTAATCCATGATAAATCCATTAAAATAAACAATTTGTATTAGGTATACTATATTACGTATACGCAGTGTGTGCTCTATGCATGTTCTTATTCCGCGTGACAAAGTGAATTGTGTTGGCCTAATGGATATAGAATGTCAATTAAGTGACGCAGCACAAAACGGAAACGGAAATGAACCCCCCCCAATGAACCTTTTTGCTTTTGACCAAAATGACAAATGCTTGTCATAAAGCGCTTAACTTAAAGCACACCCGGAAACATATAATAAGGAAGTGCAGAGAAAATGCCAGAAACAGCGGGACGAGCAATGTAGTGGCAAGTGCGAACATATTTCAATTGTACTGAGAGCCGGCAACATAGTTTTATAAATTAATAACAATAATTTATGCAGCAGCAACTACAGCGCAGCAGCACTCATAATAAATTCAGTGAACTTTTGTACATAACTCAGGAGGGCAGCAGGAAAATAACAACAACAACGGCATCATCTCTATGCGGGAGCAAGTTGCATTTGAAGCCTTACAGGCAGCTTGGCAATTCTCATCAGCTGTGCACTGCCACGGCCTCGGGCCGGGTGGAAAGAACTATAACTATGCATGTAAATTTATAACCCAGACCATTCCCTTCACAGTTGACCCCCTGAACCCCAAAGCCAGCTTCAATGGGCGACAAAACCAACAAAAAAGAGGGAGAAAAAAATGAAAACCAAACCGAACAGAACTTGTTTATGAAACAAGTCCAGGCGAGAAGTTGAGTG